CTCTCTCTCTCTCTCTCTCTCTCTCTCTCTCTCTCTCTCTCTGTCTCCTTCTCCTTCTCCTCCTGCTCTTCCTCCTTCCGCCACTCACCCGACAGCTGTTTCTCTGTCCTCTCTCCTCTTCCTGTCTGCGTCGATATGTCTCCTCCTCCTCCCCTCTTCCCTTTGCTCTACCCTCTCATTCATGCTTTGTTTACAGCAAATGTGAGGCGACTGTGTGTGTATGAGTGTGTTCATGTGTGTGTGTGTGTGCATGTTAGAGGTTGGAAAGAAAGCAAAAAAATATGGGGTGAGGTTAGTTAAGTGTGATTTAAAGGATTTGTAGTACCTGATAATACCTGTTCAATCATTTAAACTTCAAGACCAGCATATCATTTCAGCTAGGACTGTATATTGCAAAGACTTATCTCAGTCATATCCATTTTTATGAATGGGAAATCATGACAGTGATAGATGGGCAGAGTGAATACTATACATTTAAGTGCAGGAGTGATGAGGGAAGGGGAGGATGAAGAAAGAGGAGAGAGAGAAGTATTGGTGGTTGTTTATGAGTCGATTGTATCAATGCATGCATGTTTGGACTGTATGTGTGTGTTTGTGCATGAATCCCCTGCGAACAAACCCAATCACCTCTCACTCTCTCTCTCTCTAAATTACCTAATTTCTCTCTCTACTTTTCTCAAACCACCTTATTCCCCCTCCCGCTCCCCTTCTCTCTCTCTCTCTCTCTCTCTCTCTCTCTCTCTCTCTCTCTCTCTGTGTCGCAGTCACAATGAACCATCTCCATCTCTCCCTCTCCCATTCCTCCTCTCTCTCTCTGTCTTAAGTATGAAGGGGTTGGGAGAGCTCGGCCCTCTCCCTTTCCCTTCTTCCATCTCTCTCTCCTCCTCTTCTTCCTCTCCTCCTCCTCCTCTCTCGCGGCTCACGCTTGCTGCTGTCTCGCTGGAAGACGAGAAGGAGCAGGAGAAGGAGGAGGAGGAGAGGGAGGGGAGGAAATGGCGATGGGGGCATGCGGCGAGGAGGATGTCTCCCTCTCCCTCTCCCTCTCTTCTTCCTGGCCATCGCTCGGCCCTGTGAATAGGAGCATCTGGTTCATTTACAGGTACCTGCCATGGCTTTTCATACCCCCTACCCTCCACTCGCTCCCTCCCTCTCTCCCTCCAGGGATGAATGCATGTGGACATCATGGATGGCAGGGCAGGATCTAAAAGATAGATTGGCAGATGTTGCGGTGCATGCTGACAGATGGATGTGTTTGATTCAGTGTGTCTCAATGTGAATTTGAGTGTGTGTGATGTGTGTGAAGACAGACGAGAGCTGGTGCTGCACAGCCCGGTGTATGAGCAGTACAGCCGTTCTGTGTTTCGCTGTATGAACATCTGTGTGTGTGTGTGTGTGTCGTTTGATTTCTCTCTGCTTTGAATCGCTCTCTGAACAAACGTCCTCTAGCAATGCTGCACCGACAAGTGATGCTTGCTGCTTTTACTGATGTGCAGATTGATTGCGTGTTTGTGTGCATGCATGCCTAATGTTTGTGTATGTATGTTTGTGTGCATGGATGGTGTGTTTGCTGTTGTCCATCAAAAACATAAAGGTCTGGCAGGGACATTTCTTTTCCTCTTCTGACCGGTTGATTGCATGTGTTCTTGTGTCCTGCGTACTGTGTGGCGCGTATGCTTACCAGTATGTGTATGTGTATATGAGAGAGAGAGAGAGAGAGAGAGAGAGAGAGAGAGAGAGAGAGAGAG